CCAAAGCAGCAAATGATCTGTCACCTTTGGTCTTTAGCCTGGTGCTGCACAACCAGTAGGCTTTGATCACTGGACCTCAGGGACCTGCTGGGCGTGTAGGGACTGAGAAGAACACCAATGTAAGATGGTGCTTGTCCATGTAAGGCCCTATAGACCAGAACCAGGATCTTGAAATGAACCACCTCGGTAACCCCCCGAACTCGTTGGTGGACACCGGCAGTTGGGGATGCTGTCAAGCTGAAGAAAGGGTCCGATCAGGTCTTTCCCACCGACACGTCTTCCAGTGAGGACGCAGAGTCTGGGGACTTTGGGTTGGCCTCTCAAAGAGATTTGCACCAGAGATTTGAGAGGCCAACCCAAAGTCCCCAGACTCTGCTTCCTCACTGGAAGACGTGTCGGTGGGATTGAGGAGGTCTTGGAAGTATTCTGCCCACCAATCCACAACGTCCTGAGTAGAGGTCAGCAGCACACCATCCTGTTGGTAGTGCACTGCTTTCCCACCTGAGGCGCCGGATGGTGGACCAGAATCTCCTCGAAGCCGTAAACAAGTCTTGCTCCATGGTCTCACCAAACTCCTCCCATGCCCGGGTTTTTGCCTTGGCGACCACCCGAGCCGCGTTCCGCTTGGACTGCCGGTACCCGTCAGCTGCCTCTGGAGTCCAGTAAGCCAAAAAGACCTGATAGGACTCTTTCTTCAGCTTGACAGCATCCCTAACCGCCAGTGTCCACCAGCGGGTTTGGGGGTTGCCATCACGACAGGCACCAACGATCCTGCGACCACAGCTCCGGTTGGCCACCTCAACAATGGAGGCACGGAACAGGGTCCATTCAGACTCAATGTCCCCCGCCTCCCCCGGAATATTTTGGAAGCTCTGTCGGAGGTGGGAATTGAAGCTCCTTCTGCCAGACGTTCCCAGCAGACCCTCATGATACGTTTGGGCCTGCCTGGTCTGACCGCTCCGCCCCTCTCTTCCCCCGAGTGTCCAAGACATGCGGCCGCAGGTCAGATGAAACGACAACAAAGTCGATCATCGAGCTGCGGCCTAAGGTGTCCTGGTGACAAGAGCACATATGGACACCTTTATGTCTGAACGTGGTGTTCATTATGGACAATCCATGACTGGCACAGAAGTCCAATATCAAAACACCACTCAAATTCAGATCAGGGGGGCCGTTCCTCCCAACCTCACCTCTCCAGGTCTCACTGTCGTTGCCCACGTGAGCATTAAAGTCCCCTAGCAGAACGAGGGAGTCACCGGAAGGAGCGCTTTCCAGCACCCCCTCCAAGGTCTCCAAAAAGGGTGGGTAGTCTGAACTGTAGTTTGGTGCATAAGCACAGACCACAGTCAGAACCCATCCCCCCACACGTAGGCGGAGGGAGGCTACCCTCTCATTCACTGGGGTAAACCCCAACGTACAGGCACCAAGATGGGAGGCAACTAGTATGCCCACCCCTGCTCGGCACCTCTCAGTGGGAGCAACTCCAGAGTGGTAGAAAGTCCAACCCCTCTCAAGGAAACTGGTTCCAGAGCCAGAGCCATGCGTTGAGGTGAGTCCGACTATATCTAGTCGGAACCTCGCAACCTCACACACCAACTCAGGCTCCTTCCCCACCAGAGAGGTGACATTCCATGTGCCAAGAGCCTGTATGTGTGTGTGTATTACAGCCTGTAAAATTCAAATCTCTGTTTTGACTTTGAGGTGGGAGTTTTAAAATTTCAACTTTCAATTGGACAGTGATACTTTCCTGTAGATCATTTCCATTTCACTTTCATCTGAATTACTGAGAGTACAAACGGGCCGGATAAGCTCTCCCTCTCCCCCAAAGCACTTAACCTCTGATGAAACTGCTGTGGTCTGGTTTTTGGCTAATAAACTTTTTCTTTTTGGTCCAAAAAATTCTCCTCAGAGAAAGTGAAGAAGTAAGTGAGGGGAAACGATGGGAAGGAGGCCAGAACAATTGAACGGCTGACCTGTTTTGATTGATAACAAAGAGTAATAATGGCTAATTAGGCGCTATAATTCAGGATAATAAAGATGGGCGGCAGCTGCGTCAGGGGACCTTACTCCGAGGACAGAGCAGAGACGAGACATTCAGCTACAAGGATGAATTCATTCTGACCCTGGATCAGTGAATCTTTGTGTAATTATTCTGAAGGAGGTACAAAAGGAGAAAGAACTGGACAAAGGTGGGGGGAGTAGAAACTTCCACAGAGGTGAAACAGACTGTAAGGTACTAAAGTTGTAAATTAAAACATTAAAAAAGGAGGAAAAGTAGTGTGACATCTTCTGTCTGTCTCCAGACCTGATTAAACTGTTAAACATCATAATTACACTGATCCAGGCGTCATGCAGCAACAGTCTGGGATAGGGTTAGACACGGATCGCGGCTGTGACACAAAGCACTTCATGTAATCAAATGTATTTGATATTTTTCTGGGTTAAATCCGCAACCTTTCAGCTGATCGCGGTCAGAGTGACTGAATAGAGATAACTGTATAAATAAATGAGCCCCCTATCTTGTTAATGACATAAAACATATTTAAAAAATTGTTAATTTTAATGTTCGATAGTTTTCAGGAGTTATATAAAATTCTAAAAAAAAAAACTAGAGTTTACAGTGAAACTCTCTTTTTTCCTTCATGCAGTTAATGACAGCCACGCATTTGTTGCTAAACATTTGCTAAAGATATTGCAATTCAAGATTCAAAATACTAATAAAGAATATCTATAAATTCCTTTTTTAACTTTTCTTCTTTTCCTCCAAAATATGCAGCACTCTTTTCTTTTTAATGTGTCTCACCAATAAACTTATGGGATCTTCTGATACCACGTACTGTATTTATTCATTTTTAATTCATCAGATAACTTCACAGTTTTCTTTGAGGTCAGGTTTAGAGCAGGTTTCCATCACCTTTTCATGCGTGCTTGTTTCATGAAAGCTCCTACAAGTGAGAAACCCTCATTTTTCTTTTAATAGTTTAGATTTTTCTCATTTTCATGTGATTAAATATTAATGTGACTGTTTAAGTTAACTACGTCGTTTCATCATTTAATAAAGTGGCATGATATTTTAAAGATCAGCCAGTGTGTGTGTGTGTGTGTGTGTGTGTGTGTGTGTGTGTGTGTATGTGTGTGTGTGTGTGTGTGTGTGTGTGTGTGTGTGTGTGTGTGTGTGTGTGTGTGTGTGTGTGTGTGTGTGTGTGTGGCGCATCTTTGCTGATCATTAAGACAAACGCATGTAGAATTTGCCACCCTGGCCCCTTGGAAGGGCTGGATAATTACCACTAATGCACCATCATCTATGCACGACCGTCACATTACGCTTCGGAGGGCGGACAGTGAAACACCTCTGACATGAATGTTTTATTCATTCATAACCCTCTTACTCATTTTAAACTCCAATTTTGCACGATAAACTATTTTTTATGAGTTTGCTCATGCTCATTTTCAAATACGTGGAGATTGTTTCTTTCCTGAATATGGCAGGTTTCATTTTTGTTGGCATGAAATATTTTCTACAAAACTCAGAGCTGTATCAAGATGAGCATTTTCTAACTTTTGCACAGAAAACAAAGTTTTAGATGTTTGTGTTTGATGCCAGAATTTATGCTTTTATGATTTTTAGAATTGTTTTTATGTATGTTGTCACGGTGACCTTAGGTCTACCTCTTTGTTGATTTGCCAGAATTTCATAAGGACATAATATGTATTTATATCCCATAATTAAAAAAATAAACCCATAGAAGCTAAATAATTAGCCAACAAACATGTTTGTTGTGTAAACAGAAATGTTTGAAGTGAACTGCACTGTTCTTAATTGTTGTGTTTTGTTGTAAAATCATTTTACATATCTGAAACATAACTTGCTTTTACAACTAAAAGTTTTTTTTTTTTTTACTTTCTAGAAATATAAATTAACCAGAAGATGCAGCTCACACCCTAACCCTGATGATCCTCTGATTCCAGAGGCATCTGGTTCTGGTGCTGTAAAGACGGAGGATCATGGAGGGTCGTAATGGCTGCATTATTACTCCTCTTATCGCGTCTTAATTAGTGGCATTTAATTATGCACTAATGCAGTGAGGACTATTAAAGACACTGAGACCTGCTGATCGGGGAATTAGAGAAACACACACACACGTTAAAAACAGACACATTCTCTAACCTCAGTTCCCTTTAACTAGAAATTATAGAAACCCCACAGTGAGTGTGTGTGTGTGTGTGTGTGTGTGTGTGTGTGTGTGTGTGTGTGTGTGTGTGTGTGTGTGTGTGTGTGTGTGTGTGTGTGTGTGTGTGTGTGTGTGTGTGTGTGTGTGTTATGAAACGTGAGTGATATGTTTAACAGAAAACCACATAAGTAGGAATTAAAGAGAAAATTGTAAGGAAAAGATGAGAGTAATCATTTTCTGTGTGTTTATCGTTAGCAATGACGTCCCAAATCTGCTCTGATTTTTCACTCCCCCGCTTCCCCTCCACTGGTGCATCTCAATTATTTGTTCAGAGGCTGGTGTGACAATAGTGTCGGCTGTGGGCGCCTTTGGGATGCTAAACAGAGGACAGGAGGTTAAATATAAGTCACTTTCAGTGGGATGAACCTGAGGCTTGGAGAGGAGAAGCTTCAAAGGTTCATTAAAACAGAGAAAACAAAAGAGCAAACTTGATCCGACTGCCCCTGTCTGCTTTTGAAGATGCAGAGCTGCAGTGCAGAGAGCCGATGGCTCCTCAAATCATTCATGATCTGAGATGCTGCACATCTGCACTTGCATGACTGAAATGACAGCTGTTTTATAAATATATATATAGAATATATATGGCTGCATTAGTATGTGATAGAATATAAATATATATATAGAAGACTAGGCGTTCAAATTTGATTTTCTGGTTCCTTGACAAACAGTTGTAAGTAGTTTAATGTTGAATTCATTAAAAAATTGTCAGTTCTTGATTAATTACTTATTTTCACCTGATTGTTTTATATCTATTATATGTTGAGAAATAAATAATTATAAAAAAGTCCAACTTATCTTCTGCAGAATAATGGATCAAATAGATAATCAATTTAGCAAAGTAGCTCTTGTGTTGTCACTTTTATTTGACAAAGTGATAATAACAAGTATTTAAGTATTTCAGAATAGTGGGTGAATTAGTTTTGCATGCAAATATCAGATTTGATTCTGCAGCAAATTTGATAACACAGTTATATGCACAGGACTCCCATAAGAATCTGATGGAAGTCCTGTAATTTCTTCTTTTAAAATGCAGTTTGAATAAATACCACGGCCAAATAAAGTTGATTTAAAATTCTTTATAAATATCTTCAGATAAATAGCATTATAATACAAGCATATGCAGAACACAAGAAACAGACAAAAAAGTGCAACAGTCCTAACTTATTATTTATTAAAAAACACAAAGGCATTGTTGTCTTTTGCTACCAAGTTTGCCATAAATCACAGGAAGAAAATAGAATAACAGCAAAAATAAATCAACATTTGTTAGTTATTTGGAAGAAATGTTTCCTCTAGTCAAAGCTGTCTTTGGCTTTAGCGCATCTACTTGTCTGATTATATTTGATAGTGCCATGTGTGGTAAACAAAATGTGCAAAGAAAAGAAATCATAACAGTACAATATATAAAGGTTTTTACATCTGTCTTGCAGCTGCTCCTAAACTGAACCGTCTCTGATAGATCCGTTCGGTTTACTTTTATTTTAATATAATGTTTCTTTTATTTTGGTAAAAGAAAATAACCCATCATTTACCCGGTTAGGACAGCAGGAGAGCCGGGTGTAGAGGGGTTCCTTTCCCCTCCATCAGATCGCTTTTCTCCATCAGGGAGGCCGGAGAGCAGAGGTGGGCCGAGCCGGTCTGCAGCCCCGTCAGACCGTGCACTTGGCCCAGGGATGGGGTTGGTTTGATTGGCACTGGTACTGCGGGCAGAGTTTGCCCGTTGGAGCTGTGGTAAAGGCCCTTTGCTGACACGCTGAAGGGCGCATACTCAGATGATGCTGCAGGGACTGGCACGGCGCTCATGGACTCTGACAGCATCCCGACGTGCGGCCACATCGAGCTGACCACGCTGCTGAGCTGGGGGGGAACCGGGTAACCCAGGTGGTGCATGACCGAGGTGAGGGGAAGCCCGCTGGCCACCACGCCCTTGTAGTCTCGTCCTATAATGTTCTCGATGGCGAACGGGTGTTTAAACCCGCCAGGCTGTGCGCAAGTAAGGCCCCCGTAACCCTGGAAAGCAGGGAGCCTGCTGGCTGGCGCGCCTGGGTGGTCGTGGTGACCGGATGTTGCGCCCAGCTTGCTGCCGGGGTGGTGGTGGTGATGGTGGAAGTAATGCATCATCGGTGAACTCTTGCAGGTCATGTGCTCAGCACGCAGAACCTTGAAGCGCTTCCGTCTCCTCAGAAAACTGCCGTTTTCGAACATGTCCCCGCAGTCCGGGTGCAGAGCCCAGAAGCTGCCCTTTCCGGGCTGATCGGGCCGCCGAGGGATCTTGATGAAGCAGTCGTTGAACGACAGGTTGTGCCGCAGGGAATTCTGCCACCTCTGCGTGTTCTCTCGGTAATACGGAAACCGGTCCATGATGAACTTGTAAATGTCACTCAGAGGCAGCATCTTGTCAGGCGAGTTCTGGATAGCCATCGCTGTCAGTGATATATAGGAATATGGAGGCTTCTGGTCGCTGTAGGAGTTTTTCCCGGGACGGGGCATGACTGTGACGATTTCTCTAAGTTTGTATTTGATCTGAGCTAAACTGTATTTTTACAATTCTAACGTGACGGTCTTCCCTTCAGTCTCCATCCGATTGATTTGTTCCAAACTTCTCAGCCATCAGATTAAAGGCCCGCCGCTGACAGGAAAGCTCCCCGACGGGCTCTTGCATCCAAATAAAGTTTCTCTGACAGCTTTTTGCCAAATGATGCTCTTTTGAAACTTGCGCGTAAAACTGTGTCCGTGCGTAAAAAGTTGAGATCCTTTGAGTTCCTTTTAGCTGTGGGCCGTTGGATTTGGCAGGTTTGCTTTGCTGTTTGTGTGTGATGTGGCTCCTCTCCTCTTATGCGGTGCTCCTACTCGCCGCGCACTGTTTTTGTGAGACCCCCGCAGGTCGTCGGCTCTGTTATCTATTATCCAGGGGACACGTCAGAAGAGAGCAGAGGGCTGCGTGAGTGTGTGTGTGACTCTGTGTGTTTGTGTGTGCTGCTAGTGGTGGTGGGGGGCATGAGGCAGAGACGAGATGGAGAAAGGGAATAAGAGGAGGAGCGATCCGTGGATGCGTTTGTCTCTAATCTGCTGTATGCCAATCACCGATTCGCGCGTAAAGCGCGCAGAAACACAGGAAAGCCACGGTGAGGGATTTAAATTGCGTTTAAAGTGTCAACGCTTACAAGTATCCAAATGAGTGCATTTCTATTTTACACTGACCTTTGGCCCTTCTTACCTCTAAACACAAGTTTGTGCCACAGCTACAAGATGTAGCGTTGCGCTTAAGAGCGAATAAAGAGAATGTCACAAACTTTCCATAAAACACACTGATCCGAATGGATATTCTGCTCATTTCGCTTGTAACCAAAAACAAAAACCAAAAAACAATTAAATATATAAACACAGCCTCTTTTGTTAAATTTGCTCGATTGCACTTTCAGACTTCCTCAGCCATAAATCATGTCTTCCTTTTGCGCACAATAATCAGCGCGGCTTCTCCTCCGCTCCCAATTACACGAACGCGCTCGCACAGACTCACACAACAACACACTGAGCGCGAGCGGCACTGTTGTTGATTAATTGCTGAGAGGGGAGTCCGGCGGCTGTCTGTCTGTTCAAACACTCTCTGGTGGATCCTACAAGGCTGTAAACAAACTTCATCCCCTGCTCTGATTTCTGCACGGCGAGAACAGAAGCGCCCCCCCCCCCTTTTTTTTTCTATTTTCTTCTGGCCAGGTGTCATGACTGGTTCCTTGACGGCTCCTGTCTTCCTCGGTGCCCCGGTGGGCCTTCGAATACATTACAATAATTAAGCCTTCCGTGATTTAGCCTCCTTGGAGAAAAGTCCAACAATGTAATTAAGGGCAAGCTCGCTGTATTGGGTATGAATATTCAAAACTGAGTCAATTAATTAGTCGGCGCATCTCTCCTGTAATGTCTCGGTCCTTAAAGCCCACTCAAAAGGTCAGCTGTGTCAAACGAGAGCATATTTTAAAAGGAATCACCTAATTGCAAGGGAAATTACCCTTTTTTTGCACCCCGTCAAACAGAAGATAAATAAATACATTTGTAGTATTCTGTCGTTTTTTGTGACTGTTTTGCACAAGTCTGAAAAATGAGACTTAAAACTCCTCCAAGGCCCTCGGAGGCCAACCCGAGTAAAAGCATCCCCTTAAAACGCGGGAAAGATCAATGTTAATTCTGTTTTCACAAAGGGGACCGTTAAGTAGACACTTTGGCTGATCTGCATAACAAAATTAATTAGGTAGTCCACGGCATCCTTTGCGTGCACCAAACTCCTGGACAAATAACTAGTTGTAAAGCACACCTTCTGGGCATGTGGAACATATGTTGGAATTATCCTTAATTGACTAATTACATAAATTACTCATTAAGTTTACAGCACATCAATTATAAAAGATGTATCAATTAATTTTGCATAAATTACAAGCGATAAGCTGCGCGAAGAGGGCGACGGAGGGAATGAGGATCGCCAGGAGGGGGTCTTATCCAAGGTGTGTGTGTGTGCGTGCAGGAAGGTGCGCGCATGAATGACGGTCGTCTGTTTGTTTCCAGTCTCTAATAATTATTTGCTCAGCTTAAGGGCAAAGATATTCTCTCTGTGTCTGCCATTCGCGAAGGGAATGTGTGGGGTTAATGGCAATTATACTAATAATAATAATCTTAAAGACCTCTTTCCAACTCATAAGGGGCGCATCGTCGCGGAGAGAGCCATTAAAATCAATTAGCAGGGCTCACTGTTTTCAGTGGAACGTGGAGCTGGCTCAGGACTGCAGCGCTAACGCTGTTGGGCTTAGTGTAATGGTGGAATAGCAAAGTGCAAATCTTTGAATTCCTCCAGGAAGTTGGATTAAAAATGAAAGATGAAATTGTCTGTTGCCTATATCTGACTGTTATAAATGAAAAAATGAGCCCAAAACATCCAAAACCTAAAACTAAAAACGTTTTATTGGTATTAGTATTATTGTGTTTCTTGAAGATCTGGTCACAATGGATGTTTGAAAAGAATTTAAGAGCTGAGAACAGGTATGCAAAGGTAACAAGGAGGTGTTCCTCATGAGGAACACGTTGATTAGTGACATAAGGGTAAATAAAACTAAACAACATAGAAAAACAGACTACAATGAAAAAAATATATTCAGTTAAATATATATATATATATATATATTTACATACAACTAAACTAATTTGGAAACACAGTAAGCTGCTTCTTTTTGATTGATCTTGAAATTAAAGAAAAATCTACTACCAAACAAGTTTGAATATTGCTTGCTTGGATTTCATAACGACAAATCCCTCACCACAGTTACTTGACATTAATATGTTTTATAACATTTCTCTAAATGCATTCAATACTTAGACAAGATACAGGAGTATGATTCTATCAGGGTACGCCAGGCCCCAGGTTCATATCCCGGACGAGCCCCCATTTATATTGGCACCCAGTTCAAGGGGCCGCAACATAAAATAGAAACTGAACACTTGTCTTGCAGATTTGGAACTTTCTAAAAATAAAAACAGCCATTTAAATGTCCTCACCAAAGCAGCAAACAGCCAAGAGCCCCTGTGTAATTTCCCTGAAGCTTTTATCGGAAATCCACAGGTGCAGACACTCGCACAATTAAGAGCTACCCACACAGCCAGGCCAGTGGAACAGACAGGTGTGGCAGATGTACTGAAATTCACATTAAGAACTAAAAGCAATCTGTCATAAAATGTAGGAAGCAGCAGGGAGCAGGAAAAATCTGAAGTGTGCAGGACATTGAAACAATTTCTCATCAATTTATTATATTTGAAGACTGAAATATTATTTAAATTCTTTTTAATAATTTAGATGTGTAAAATTAAATTGTGTGTGTGTGTGGGGGGGGGGGGTGCGTGTGTGTGTGTGTGTGTGTGCAATCCTCATTTCTCCGTACATCCTCTATGAGAGCTGTTGTGGTTGTGTACCTGTATCATTAAAACTCAAGGATTTTGACTCAAGAAAAAACGTAAAGTCATTTTAGATTCACAAGAACACAAAAACAAAAAGGAAGTAAGAACATAAACCCTCTGGAGGCAGGCGTTGCAGATTTGCAACGTTAAAACCTACAGTCTATGGTTAAAACCTACCTACCTGGTTACTCCATATACGTATTTCATGAGCATTTTTTAACTCAGAAGTACCCCTGAAGGACTTAGTTGTTCGTCCTTTCGTCAAAACTTATTTTGAGCGTGAGAGGGTTAAGTTCCTTGATGTCCCCATCCCATCTGACCTCACCTGGTCTGCTCACTTCTCTCACCAGGTGGGGGAGACACATCAAGGTTCACTTTCTCCAGTTAAAGGGTCTCACCTCCTGTACCCTGCTGATCAACCAGCCAACAAAAGCCAAGTTTCCCACCAACTGGTTAATTATTAAACTATATTTCTTCCTTTAATAAATAAAGGATAAATATTGAATAGCTCTTTGAAAAACTAGTTAATGCCGCTCTAGTTAGCAAACCCCCTACCATGGACGTAATTTGGGGGGGGGGGGGGGGGGGGGACATGTCCCCCCCACTTTTTCCAAAGTCAAGTTTTGACCCCTGCACTTTTTACCATCCAAAAACAATATTACGCTATATTAAATTGACACTGGTTGAGCTCTAGTACCAAGCGGAAAACAACCATTTGTGTTGAAGCCGGTTTCCCTTTAGAACATACTGTAAAGATACCCCCCCCCCCCCGTGTCCCCCCCACTTCTAAAGTGAAAATTACGTCCTTGCCCCCTACCTAGCATCATTGCTGTATGGTTTAACATGTAATTCTGTTGCTGAGTCAGAGACATCAGTTGGGGAAATTCCAGTGTTTCTTTTCCAGTAGTAATTCTGGAAGAATCATCATTAAACCTGACATTCCTGGAAATGAAAGTAGCAAAATAGCATTTGCACAAATTGCTAAAACAAAATTTGGAAATTGACAAAACATTTTAAATGCCTATTTTACAACAATTTGTTAGCTTATCTGATTAGTGTTCAGACATAATCCAAATTTCTTCAAACTGAGGATATTCAAATAGTTCTCCAAAACAGTTAAATATCATCTCATTCTAAGATTTGCACAGAGCCCCCGTTGTACTTAAGTTTATATGAAACAGCAGGAACGTAAACATTTTAGATAAACGCCTGTGTTTTATATCCTTTTGCTTTCTTCAAAACAGATCCTGATTAAATGCACTGAAATGCTATGTATCAACAATTATTAATGTCTTTAATAAATGGAAAAATAAATGAATGAATGAATGAATGAATGAATGAATGAATGAATGAATGAATGGTAAAACTAGCCTACTGAGTGAGGTAGTGACTCAACACAAGTGTAGAAATCAGACTGACTGATGTCAAACAAGAACAGGAAGTGAAACACTAAATAATGAACAATTTTCAAAATAAAACAGGATGTTGTACAGCTCAACTATTAGCGAGAACAGGCAAAAACAAATATCTAAAATGAGTTAGAAAAATACAAGCATATAAAAATATCAAACAATGGCGTTCTGATTGGCTGTGTTCAAGACTACTCAAAAGTAAGATACTGTGAGTGGTCATCTAAGACTCTTTTGAACCTACAAGAGTCTCATTGAATGGTGCTTTTGAAATAATACTACTTAGTAAGCTTTTGGTACCATTTGAGTCCAGTGAACTTATCGTCATGTTCTGGTTAAAGAGGATCTGAGCTTTGTGACTTGACCTTTATCCTGCTGGACGTAACCATCAGAAGATGGACATGGTCAGCAACAACGTTCAGGTATGGGAGCTGGGTTTAAACCAGGCTCAGGTGGTACTAAGAAACCCAAAGTTGGACAATAACATCTCCCTCCACACCAGTACATCACCAGCAACCTGAATCTTTGGTAAAAGGCTGGGTAAGC